CGGCTTCCTGCTGGTGCTCGAGCGGCCGGAGCCGGCCCAGGACCTCTTCGACTTCATCACGGAGCGCGGCGCGCTCGACGAGCCCCTGGCGCGGCGCTTCTTCGCGCAGGTGCTGGCCGCCGTGCGCCACTGCCACGCCTGCGGGGTGGTGCACCGCGACATCAAGGACGAGAACCTGCTGGTGGACCTGCGCTCGGGCGAGCTCAAGCTCATCGACTTCGGCTCGGGCGCGCTGCTCAAGGACACGGTCTACACGGACTTCGACGGTGAGCGCGGGCGGGCGGGCGTTTCAGCGGCCGGTAACGCCCGTGGGGTGGGGGGGCTGGTGACTGTTGAGGCCGCGCGCCGCCTCGGGCACGCTCGAGTGGGCACCGGGAGGAGGATCCCGAGCGGGTTCGTGGCGGGTCGGGGTGAGGGGTGGGCTCGAGACCGCCCCTTTTGGCTGTGTTGGGGTGACCCCGAGGGCGAGGGGTTCGCGGCGTCTGCTTGCCGAGTGCCGGGACCCCGGTGTCGTACGAGCGGGCGCCGCTCGGGCCGCCCCCTGCGCGGGAGCGGGCGCCGCGTGCGTGCGGGCGCAGGCAGAAATCCCCGCATTGCGGAGCGTGGGGAAGCCCGCCCGCCCGCTGCTCCGCTCCTCTCCCTCCCGCCTGCCCGGCCCCCCCCTCGAATCCTCATCTCACATCTGTTTGTTGTGAAACCCGAGCCGGCGCCCATGTGACTGGCTCCTCCCCCAGCCGCGCCAGCCCTGGGAGGCCACGCCCGTGGGGTTTTTCCAGGGTGATGACGAGCCGGATTTCGAGGCTGGCTCCCCCTTCTGGCTCAGGCCTCGGAGTCGGTTAGCTGCGAGCTCAGGGTCTTGGTGTTTGTGTTCGGTGCCAGTGCCAGTACCATGTGGTGCTGGCGCCTGGGGTGTGCCTCCTAACGCCCGGGTGTTCCCCAGGCACGCGGGTGTACAGCCCGCCGGAGTGGATCCGCTGTCACCGCTACCACGGGCGGTCAGCCACCGTGTGGTCTCTGGGCGTGCTGCTCTATGACATGGTGTGCGGGGACATCCCCTTTGAGCAGGACGAGGAGATTCTGCGCGGCCGCCTTTTCTTCCGGAGGAGGGTTTCCCCAGGTGTGTGGGGGGCCTGGGCGGGGCCGGCGCAGGGTGACGGGATCCAAGGGCCGGCCCCCTCCTGATCCTCCATCCTCCCCTGCAGAGTGCCAGCAGCTCATTCAGTGGTGTCTCTCCTTGCGGCCGTCAGAGCGGCCCTCTCTGGACCAGATCTCCACTCATCCCTGGATGCTGGGGGCAGACGGGGTCACCCCACAGAGCTGTGACCTGCGGCTGTGCACCCTGGACACGGGTGATGGGTCCAGCACCACCTCCAGCAGCGAGAGCTTGTGAGGAGGGACCTGTACCTGGCTTCTGGGAGCCAGAGGGACCACCTGCCCCAGCCCAGCCCTTGGCGGGGCCATCCTGCCAGGGCATCTGCTCCTTGAGAGAGCAGTGACCTCTCATCCCTGGTGACCTTTGCCACCGGGCGTGTTTCCTTTGCTTTGAGTGCCTTTTCGAACGCTGCTCTCACGGGACTTGGTTTTCTCAAGCTCTGTCTGTCCAAAGACCTCTGGTCCAAGCAAGGTCTCGTCTGCCCTGGGCGGGTGCTTGACCCTGAGACTGTCCTTGTCCTGTGCTTCCGGGAGGCGGCCCTGCCGGTCCCCAGCGCCTCCCCGTCTGACCTGGTTGGACCAGGAGCACTCCCGTGTCCTGTGGCCTCATCTCACCAGGGCACAGGGCTCTCGTGCCCATCCCCTGCCTCACCCTCGTCCCTCGGTGTTCGTCGGGCATGTCTGTGCACAAGCAATGCAACGTCCAGGCCTCTGCCGCCCACGCTCGCCACGCCGTGCGTGTGTGCGTGCACCGTCTATTTATGGTGTGAACCCCCGCGGAGGGCTATTTATTGTTTAATTTATTTGTCAAGGTCCTTCCCGGCAGCCCTGCTCCTCCAGGCCCCCTGGGTTTGGGGAGCAGGGAGGCTGTGTGTGGACCCCGGTCCTGCCCCGTCTGTGTCTGTGGAGGATGGATTTGTATAGGGGCTAACTTAAGGGGAGTGGGTGACGGCCACTTTGGGGCTCTGCGCCCCGGGGGCTGGGTTTTAAATTATTGATCTTGTACAGTCTGCTTGTTGGCTCTGGGGGGTGGGGCGGAGTCTCGAGCCTTTAATTTATTTCAGCAGCCGCGTGTCTGTGGTCCCGGTGTGCGGGCATCGGGGGCGGGGGCTTCTTTCAGTTCAAGAGCGAGATGTCTGGAGATCATATTTTTTTATACAGGTATTTCAATTAAATTGTTTTGTATATAATAGCTAACCTGTGTTTATTGGGCTCGGGGCTCTGGGGTGCGGGAAGGTTACGGGAGGAGGGGCCTGTGGTATGTGGGTGACGACCTCCCCATTCCTGCGAAGTGGTGGCAGTGTGGTGGGGCTAGGCTCCCCCTCCCAGGCCAGCAGGGCCAGCATCGGCTCGTGGTGTCCTTACTGCTGCATTCTGGCCCCGTTCACAGCTCAGGGAGTCGGCAGGCTGTGCCGTCAGGGGCCTCTGGGCGAGGGGTGGGGAGCCAGGTCCTGGGGAGCGGCACTCTGGTGGTGGCCCCAGGTCGAGTGGTTCTCGAGGGGGCCCAGTCAGGGCAGGCAGAGCAGGGGTGCACGGTGTGGGGTGGGGCCCACGCTGCTCACCGCCGGGGGAGGCCCTAGAGGGTGAGGAGAAGCTTGCCAGGTGGAGGTGTGAGAGGCCATTCTGGGTGCAGAGAACAGGTGGGCCCGGGCTTGGCAGGTCCAGGGCCAGGTGTGGGGGCGGGGGCCAGGTGGCAGCACTACAGGCCAGCGGGGGAGGGTCTGGGCACGCCCTTCCCCCGCAGGGAGTCCCTGTGCTGGGGCTGTGGGACGCCCAGGCCTGCGAGGGAGCCATCTGGGTCCAGCAGGGCCCAGGCACGTGGCCCAGAGCCCCCAGAGGCCTTGTCCCTGTGTCCTGTGGCCCAGGTGCCTGGTCACATGGCCCATTTGCAGAGCAGGCAGACCCCTGCCTGCTCCATGTACCTGCTACAGGGTCCTTGGGACTGAAGAATTGGGACAGTGGAGTGTCCTGAGGCCACAGGCAAGAGGCTGGGCAGGAAGTGGAGAGCATGAAGCAGGAGGCAGAAGCGGGCAGGCAGAGGGCCAGGTGGAGCTCCCGGCGCTGGAGGGCGTTGGAGTTTGGGCCCGGCTTGGGGGACCTGGCGCGCCCCTCCTGACAGCTGCTGAGGGCCAGGAATCCCAGGGCCACCCGCTCAGTGAAGACAGATGCTATGGAGCAGCGCCAAGCGGGTGTGGGGAGACCATCCGCCTGTCCCCACAGCTTGCCCGCTGCTGCTGGGGGCCTTCCCCTCGTGCTTGCCCTGCCCTTTCCCGGGACAGGGTCAGAGCCTGGTGATGGGAGAGGGCCCCAGGAAGGCCGAGCGCAAGCATCGGGGCCCCTGTGCCCCACCCCAGTGACAGTCCCCGCATGTTACCACAATCCTGGCTCCCTCACTGTGAGCCCAGGGTGCTGGGCTGGTCTTAGGCACCTGCCGTTCACCCACCTCTTGGTCCTCCATGAGTCCATCCATCCATCCGTCTGTCCACCCATCCACACCCTGGACCATCCAGGAAGCACTCACTGAGCTCGTCCTCGTGCCAGGTCCCGAGTCAGCCCTGGGGAGTGCTGAGGTGCTCACGCTTAGTCACCAAGTGCTGGAGCCTGGTGGGCAGGTTGAGGGTGCTCTGAGGAAGGCTTGTCCCCAGCCCAGGGTACAGGAGGCAGGGGCTATGTCCTGCCGGGAGGTGAGCAGAGCTGGCCCGGCCTGGGCAGCTTGAAGCCCTGTGGACGTTCTCTGTGCCCAGCTCTCTGTGGATGGGCAGGGCATGGGGAGGCGGGCAGCCACCCAGCCAGGAGGCTGGAGAGGGGCGTGGAGGCCAGTATCTTCCCCAAGTCCGTTCTGGAACAGAGGGTTCCGCCCCATAGGGGCTTGGGAAATGCTGCCCCCCAGAGAGGCTGCCAGGCGAGTCAGAAGCTCTGTGGCCTTGGGACCCCTGTCCACTGATGCCTGTGGAGGAGGGACAGGTGCCGGCCACTTTGGCACTGGATGGACAGGCCGTAGGGGTGACCCTTGATGGATTTGAGGGGTGCGGAAGCCGAGGCCACAGGTGGCGAAGCCCAGGCCTGTATGCACCACAGCCAGTGGGGGCTGGACATGGGATGAGCCCCGTGGGAGGCCTGAGGCCTGGCAGGGGCTCGGGGGGCCAGGACCTGCCACCAGGTGTGGGACTGCGCTGGGCATGGGAAGGCCCGGGGGGAGGGTGAGCCCACTGCACAGAGCCCGCCCTGCAGGCTGGAGGGACGAGGTGGGGGCAGTGGCCAACCCCACACTCTCAGCCTGGCCCTGCGCCCCATCTTCACTGACCGCACAAGCCCTACGCGGGGCTGCTGGGCCTTGCTGTCTGCCGGTTCTGCACTGGGTGCTGTGCGCACCCCTGACCCAGCTCCACCAGAAGGGACTTTTGGTCGGATGCCCTTGGGGAAACTGAGGCCCAGAGAGACAGAGACTTGTGCAGATGCCAGACCATGACCCACGTCCCCCACTGCTGTGCCCCACATCAGGGAGCTGGAGGCCAGGCTGGAGACTCTTGGTGGCCGAGGCCCACAGGGTGGGATGGGTCCAGGCCGCACTCAGGACCCACAGGACAGGCTGAGGACAATGCACGCTGCAGAGGGGGCGCCTTCCTTGCCTCCAGGGTGTCTGCTGTGGGCACCGTCCTGGGTCCCAGAGACGAGGACAGCTGGAGGGACGGCCGGAGCCCTGCTGAGGAGCCCGACCCCCTGGGGAGCTGGCACGCAGGTGTCCCGTGGCCCGTTCTGGGTCTGCCTGCTGTTCAGCTCGGGGTGCGGGTGGGGACAAAGGAGGCAGGGCCCCTATTCTGTCTGGACGCCCCCACCCCTGCTTTCAGACACACACCGGGCACTCTGTCGGGATCGGAGTGGTGGACCCTGCTGTTCTGGCCTGCCCCTAGGGAGGAAGGCTGTCAGAGGCCAGTTCCTTGAGGCCCTGGTCCACACAGGGACCTCTCCCGGGTGCTCAGACCCCTCCCCCCAGGCTGGGCCCCTCCAGGACCACAGGCCCTCTCCACGGGCACTCAGGGTCACTCAGGGTCACTGACCGTGTGTGCGTGTGCGTGTGTGTGCACACGTGCACGCCTGTGGGGCCTGGGCGGACCAGCCTCTGACTCCCTGCTGTCCCACTCAGGGCCTAGAGATGGCAGAGGGCGAGGGGCTGGGGAGCTGCCATGCGCCCCTCACCCCTGAGCCATTGCGGCACCCAGGGTTGTGCCCCCCGTGTCTGCAGGATCCCTCTGGCATAGGACCGGCTCTCATCAGAACCAGCCCTGGTGGGGGGCTGCAAGAGGGAGCCCTTCTCCCCAGGACCCCTCGGGACCAGGATGGGGCCGTTTCCCTGGGCAGGAGTCTCAGCCGCCCAAGGCTGCACTGTTGGCCGTGTGGATAGCTTGGGGCTGGAGCAGAAGGGCACCCCAGAAGCCTGCCCCGCCCCCACTCCAGGCTGCTCGGTGCCCCGCCCCCTGCCCCCACCCAGGAGGTTGCCCAGGCCCCAGCTCTGTGTGGCCCACGGGCCCGGACCGTCCCTGCCGGGCGAGCACCCCGTCTCCACTGATCTTTTCGTATCTTAGGCCAGTCGAATATCGGGGTTCCCGTAGAGCTGCCTCTCAAGTTCTGAACAGCATCTGTCTGTCAGGAGCTTTCCTTGGGGTTGCACAGAACCCAGAAATTATTGTGGAAAGAACCGGAATCCTGAGCACATTGCGGCCCTAGGCATCCTGCAGCCCCTGCTCACGTGTCCCCCCGACCCCACCCGCCCTTCCCACCAGGCTCCCGCGTCTCTGCTCCGGCCGCTGCCCTGCCAGAGCCTCGCCTCGTGTCACCCCGTCTGTGGTCTGCGCTGTGACTGGTGTGCTCACAGCCAGGCCCCCTGAGGGGTTCGGGTGCTGGCGGTGCACGCGAGGTGGCCGCCTCTCCTGGCCTCCTCACCCAGTGGCCGAGGCTGACCCCGCTCTTCAGAAAGAGGCTGCGCCGTGGATCCGAAACTGACCGTCTGCAGCTGTCCAGGCCCCGTTAACTTTCCTTTCTCCAGTGCAGCCGACACAGCCCCCGAAACGAAACCTTGGTGTGCTTTCGGTGCCAAAGCTTCTCGGAAAAGGGAAGTGACCCCTGGTGGCACCCCAGGCGCCCCACCTGCCCCTCCAAACATCCAGACCCCAGCTGGCAGGGAGCCCTGTACTAGCGAAAACAGCACGAAGAGGCAACACGCAGGGGACAGGCTGGGCAGCTCCTGAGTAGGCAGTGGACACCTGGCCAGCAGGGCCGAGGGGCCATGGCCTGCCCACTGTCCATCCTTGCTCCTGGTTGTGGCCAGGATGTGTGTGGGGGGAAATGGGGGGGTGAGGCCCAAGCCCACATGCAAGTCGGGGGTTCTCAGCGGGGCCCTCCCCTCTCTATGGGGGCCTCTGATGGGGCGTCTGAGCCTCCGGCACATGACTTCCAGGCAGCCTTGGCAAAGCCCCGAGCTTGGGTTACACAACTGCCCCCCCTGCCCCCCGGCTTCCCGGCAGTCAGGCCTAGCTGGACAGGGTGGGGGCAGGGCCTGGCCCTCCAGCACTGGTCACTGCAGGAAAGCCCTTCCCAAGGGGCCAGTCCCTGAGGCGGCAGGCTAGGGCGGGGTGGGGCTTCTGCTCTCAGATGAATGAGGGAGGGTCTTCTTCGGGGCGGACCACCTGTACTCAGCACTGAGTGAGCCTGGCGGGCAGGGTCAGAGGCCCCCCTACGAGGAGAGAACCGGCGACCTGGGCGGGACCCACCTTCCAACGTGGGCCTGGGGGGGAGCTGGCTCTGCACAGGCTCTGGGCCCTCCTGTGTGCCCTCCGGCTGGCAGGCTCCCCGCCCTGACCGGAAGCTCAGGCCCCCCATGGGCATGGGACCCCAAAGTCACTGGCCCCGCCCACCCACAGGGAGGGCTGTTGCCCCGCCCCACAGGTGCTGCCCTGAGCTGACTCCCTTGGGCTCCTCACCCAGGAACACTGGGCTCAATGACCCACTGGCCACTCCAGCCATGGGCAGGGGGACAGAGAGGCGCTGGTTCCCGGGCTGTCAGGTCAGCTCAGCCTGTGGCCCACCAGCCTCCCCGTCCCCACACCCTGGCCCACGTGCTCTGTCTGCCCAGCACCTGTGCCTGACTCCCGTGCCTGGCCGCTGCCGGCAGCCACTGCGCCCTAATGGCCAAAT